GTTTTCATCTGCTTTTCAACCTTAAAGTATTTAAATGTAGAAGTTTGAATGTAGAAGTAAAAGGAAAGAATACTTAAATGATTAAAGAGAAAGTTTAAAATAATTCTTGTGTAGCTCTTTCRTCCACTCAAGATAATAGGTTGTTGAAGACTTTTCTCTTTTGTATCTTCATTAGCTTTTAGTATTTATAAAATGGTTAATGCGTTGGCAAAAAGCATTATATGATATTAATATATGTATCACCCTCGACACTCGAGGTCACASAGAAACACTGACGTCCTTCAAGATCCTCAATGACAACATTATTTATGTTCGCTGCTTCATTTACGTGTTATCGCTAGGTTGGCGCCACCAAATATTCATACAGGGTACCTTAACTGATGTTCAAGGTGAAAAACGTCACCAAAAAATACAAAACACATTAGTCTCAATTACTAGCTGCTAATGCATTAAAGTAGTTTGGAATATATACATTAGTGGTGCATTAGTCACTCTAGATTGTAAGGTGACAGATTTATCCCTTTGTATCAGCATGAAAAAGCGTAATTAGTAGATAAGAGTTGCCTGGGGGGAAACAGAAAACGGCTTGAAGATGTTTTAGCTTGTCGTAGATACGATACTTTGATAGTTCCYAACGATAAGAAGGATTCCACTCATTTCAAAGGGAATAATGCGTATAAATAATAGAAAAGAGTAATAGAAGTAATAGAAAAGAGAAAATGCACTCGTGAAACTGCGCAGATAAAAAAGCATAGATATTGTGAAGCAAAGATATTAAATCATTCAATCTCAAATGAAATATATTAACCTCAACTAGCCAAGTAATATTGTGCATACCGTGGTGGTATTCATGAGTCTTATGCTAATGCTACACTTCTATTAGCTTCTCAAAACATATGTATCATCAATAAGTTAACCATTGACATCATTTTTTCCATTATACATAATTTTCCATCCCTTCCTAGTGCTTTCAATCATTATTTTGCTTAACTTCTCTTAAATTTTCGAGTAAACGGTTTTCATTTTTAAACCACAATTCTTATTTTCTTCAATATCAATTTTATTGATTTTTTATTATTAAGATTTTCTAGTTTATTTTGTTAGATTCACTTCATTAGATTAAAGCTGATTGCCCTTGTTTAAATATTCTTCAAGGAATCTTRCTCTATTTGTTTTATGTATTCATGATACATCTTCCTGTTCGTGGGTAGAATTTACTATCATTTATTATATCTATTACTATTTGTAGCTGAATTTTTAATTTAATGACAGCCAGRCCGTTGACCACTATGGAACAAATAATACATGACAGTCGATAGTTAGGTCTAAGCATTTGTTTATCCCTTCAATCCTGTGCTTTGACGTTTCTCCTCCGGTTTTTCTGGTCTTCCGCAAAAGCCAATTCCTCTGTACCACAAATTGAGAGTACAAATACATTCTCGATTGACGTTATTGAATTGAAAAGATGATAGTGATGACAATAATCTACCTTGCTGTAGATGACGGTGACGACAATGATTCGCCCTGCCCTAGATAAATAATCAGTGGTGATGACAATGATCCACCTCGCTCTAGATGATGGTGATGACAATGATCTACCTTGCTCTAGATGACGGTGATGACAATGATCTACCTCGCTCTAGATGATGGTGATGACAATGATCTACCTCGCTCTAGATGATGGTGATGACAATGATCTACCTTGCTCTAGATGATGGTGATGACAATGATCTACCTTGCTCTAGATGATGGTGATGACAATGAT